ATTTATTGAGCTAGGCTGAGCTTGTCAGGAGTAACCATACCTTTGAAAACACCCATTTCGATGCTTGGTGTTACTATGAGCAATAACCTTTCTTGGGAAAATCACGTGAGATCAATTGCTAAAAGTGCATCCCAAAAACTTGGTTTTCTGTTTCGGGCCAGGAGCTATTTCACTTCCAGTCAGCTGCTTATAATCTATAAGGCACAGATTCGACCTGTCCTGGAATAATGTTTCCTTATTTGGAGTGCAGCACCCAAACATACCCTGAAACTGTTGGATTGTGTCTAAAAGAGGGTAGTTCGTCTCGTGGGTGATGCCTTGCTCACAAACTCACTCACTTTTCTGGAACACCGTAGAAAATTTGTCGATCTGGCTCTATTTTATAAATATTTGTATGGCTCTCTTGACATATCAACGATTGTTCCTACCTTGGCAGTCTCCACGAGATTAACCCGTCGAACTGAGGCTTCGCACCCCTTCGTGGTCACCTTGGAGATCTGCAGAACATCTCTTTCCAAAGACTAGTTCATCGAACGAACAGCGAGGCTCCGGATCACATTGCCAAGGAAGGTGTTCCCAGAGGCATTAAACCTCCAGAAATTTACCAATTCCTTCCTTATTCCCCTTGGTTCTCACGATGTTCTCTGAACATTACAGGATATCCCTTCTCGTGGGAACAGAACATAAAAAAATGGGTGGACCATAAATTTTTTGTCATTTCTAATCGTGAAATATGATGAAGTGAACAAGAGATGAATAGATAAGAAGTACATTAGTCAATATATCAATCCGAAAGTACGAATTATATCACAAACCAGTTCAGATCGAAATTCTTTTCAAATTGGCCATGTAAATCCATATAAAATACCAAACTCCGCATCATGAAATTTCACCCAACTATTTGTGGCAACAGGTATAACAGTTGTGATATAAGTTTCTTCCCTTCTCCATATATTCCAAAAATTTCAATATTGAGCAACTAGAGGAATTTGCACGTACTCCCATTAGATTGACAAAATCAATGGAAACTTCGTGGAAACCTGAATATGAGAGTTGAAATTTTGTGGTTGTCGAGATTATCATTATCATGAATGAAATAGGTTTCTCTACCTACATAACCTTGGCTTCTTTGTGTGAAAATAAACCGCACTCAATTTCCTGGGCTGAGCATTGAAAATATATCAGTAAGTTCCTCAGCACTGATGGTCCAACAATGTGTCGTATGACTATCGAAAAACCATATTTTGAAAATGATATGTGACAATGATTGAAGGGTGACCCATATATACTCTTTTGGAGGGAATTACATAAAGTCATCATGATTATTACGCATGGCAGGGACCATAGTACGCCAGTCAAAATCGACAATGAATTAACAATACATTATGCATCTCTAATTTCACAGTATGTTATTTCAAGTCATTAGGATAGTGTACACCTAACTTTGCAACTCTCAAAAAGAAGTGGAAGAAGTGGAGCACACGAGAAGCTGCGAAATTTTCGGACTTCTTCAGTTTTTGCTCTGTTCTCCTGAACTACGCATCTTTTGAAGAACGCCTTGATAATGATTTTTTGAAGTGCATAGAATGTGTGCCAATTCTAGCCTGATTAGAGCTCTGTAGATCAATTGGTTACGGAGCTATATACAGAACTCTGAAATTAGGACATGTCTTCCAGAAAGTGAAAATTTCAGTTTCTGATGGATTCTGGACCTGAATTACGGCTAGAGCACTAGAGAAAATAGTTTATTCACAAAGAGAGAGAATCTCAAAGTCATTCCCACACTAGTGTGAGTTTCTCTCTCTTTGTGACCATTGCATTCCACTTTGAGTAGTTGGCTTTTTCCCTAGTCAGAAATAGTTATTTGTTATTTGTTCCACTTGGCAGAAAAAACATGATTATTTTTCCTAATTCGTTTATTTCACGCAGAGTCCAAATAACCCATCATTTTGTGTTCACCCAAAGTCATTGTCAATTATTTTGATACCAATCTCGTTCAAATCACTTATTATTCAGATGAAAAAAACCCAAAGTCATCTCCACAACAGTTATTTGATGATCAGAGACCAATCACATAGGCGTACATATGTTTCGGGCTAATATAAACCCATCATCAGCCGAATACAAGATTTTAGTTCTAGAAAAACCAACAATAACATTGGATATGGATTCAATGAATACTTACGGAAATTAAGAAGTTGAAGAATTGGGAGAATTTGATAATTTGGCCAATAAAATGGGGCAAGATACAGACGTGTACACCATGATCTAGTTGTTTCTTATAAAGACATTGAAAAGTTTTTTCATTATAAAAAATGGATCGGGTTATTAATTTCATAAGGGCCCACGTGCCCTTTAATTGCCAAAGTTGACAATCACACATTGAGAAATCGAACAAAATTTGATGGGGTATCAAAGTTAACCTGTGAAATGATAAACTCAAGTCACGTGTAATCGAACCGGTGAAATTGAATTGTCGAAATGATATATGACAAACATCATAATATGTCATGTCTTAATCATAAAATTTTTCAACTGTTTCATTTCCATGTGTGGTACACAAATCACTCTGTAACCGGAGGAGTTTTTGACAAGAATTAGATAAGAACGTCAGAAAAAAACTGTTTCTTGACACGTTTGTTAATTTAGTTATTTTCTATATAGAATAAATAGTTCTTTCGATATCCCGCGTGTAATTTCAGCAGCTATATACACACATTGAACCATCAAGTCCTGAAGTGGTGAGCCCGACGTGATCTGCGGTGTGATAGTTCGAGACTTGTTATTGGATTTTTTTGAAAAAGACGTTCCTAGGAGCTAAAGTTAGACGTTCCTAGGAGCTGAAGTTCAACTTCAGCTCCTAGGAACTGAAATTCAACTTTAGCTCCTAGGAACTGAATATGTTGCCTAGCAACATACCTATTTTTGTGTCAGTAATAATAACGTCAATTCAGGAGCTAATTTTGGGATCAAAATGGACGACTTTTGTGTCGGTTGCAGGAAAAAGTAATTTATGAAAAGTGACATTTTATAACCTATCAACAGAGTTAAAATGTCGAACTTTTTTCACGTCACATCAGAAAAAAATATTTTGTTTACAAACGTCAAAAAATGGCATGGTTCGTGAATTGATAACAAGTGACACTTCTTTTCGGTGTCCTAGATTACCATGATACCTTGCACAAAACAATGCCCGATGTAAAACAGTACCTACTTCGCGCATTGTTATGTGAAATATATGAGATATTTATATTTCAACTTCAAGGTCCGCAATCGAGTAAACATCCACGGAATCATTTATTCCTGAATGTTCAACAATAACTTTGTTTTATCTCGTGGAGTGCCCGAAAGGAAATTCCTATTATGTTCGTGGAACATCGTGCGTACCTAGGGAGGATAGGGGGGGCCATTTAAGCCAGTTGAACATTATTTTTCATATCAAGCTGAGAATATTTTTACGAAATTTGCCTTCAAAACTATCCAAACCAGAGTCGGAACTTTAGTCTTGATGATGATTCAATCTATTTGGCAATCGGACTTTTAGTAACGCCGAAAGTCAATTCATAGTAGAGGTCTGCATTCCAGCCATTGTGAAATGACCTTGGTAACGCCCCTCTCAAGAACTATATTTTTTGACGTTTGTAGAAAAAATGTTGTTTGCAACTCGAGCGCGAAATACTTTGATCATCTCGACTAATTTTTAACTCATAAGTATCTCGATCTTAAAAGTAGCATCTCGCGCTCCAGATACAGTAATAACTATTCAATCATCAATTCCTGGGTTCAAATTCTACTGATACAATGCAACATACGCTAAGGTAATGAGGATAAAAAGAATCAATTTAGTGATTCAATGGTTAATTTCCTCGAACAAATATATATCATCCTTTATATTATTAAACGTACCTATATATACTTCAGATTGTGCTAATTTGAATGAAAAATGTAGCAAGTTTTCCTATTCTGCTCTGATAAAAATCTTTCGCTCGGCATTTGCAAAGATTCTCAGCAGAGAAATATAACCGGAGTGATTCGAAAGAGAGCAAGGTCGATATAATAATTCTTCCTGGTTTCTTTCTGTCGACATATCCAACAAAAGGTTTCGCGAGTAGCTGTTTCTGCGATGATTTATGGCTCAATATTGCTCTTGAATATAAGAGAGGATGAATTGTGCGAGTATATCCTGGTGGCACAATTTGACATCTCATATAAAAGTATCGGATCAGGACATAGACGTATAATATTTCTATACCGTTTTTCACTTGCCCTAATTGCACGAACTTTTTCTGCACTGGAAGATTCCTGTATCCAGATTTTCTTCTTCTCTGTGAAGTGAAAACTCATTGCATATTTTGAATTGACTCAGCCGTTACTTGATGAAAATCCATGGAAATCGAAATAACTTCACGAACGATAAGATTTCCATAAAACTCTCAAACACACGACATGTTTCGCTAACACAGTAGCTTCATCAGGTGATATACTGGTACAATGAACGAACCTTGACTTGCCTAACTTTTATACAGTGTGTCCCACTTACCATGCTCACCATGGGTACCTTTTTAACGGTGGGAGATACGAGGTCGGTTAAATGACACCAAATAAGGAGTTTGTCAAGGCCAACTATGATGTGAAAAAATATTTCGATAAGATCTATTCGTTTTGTTTTATACGCAAAAAACAGATTCTGATCATTTTCATGTCTCTCTGTAACTTCTTTATTTATGAAAATATTCAAATAGGAATTTCACATTATCATGGCAGTTCTTCAAGGTGATTTCGAAAAAAATATTAAATTCATACCAACTCTTCTAGAATTTGAGATATCAGCACCAACTTCAGTTTTTCAAATGTAGGTCATAGCTCACTATGACTAAGTTACAAACAACTTTTTTTTCTCTTACAGATGATATGTCGCAGTTATAGTTTTGTGTTGATAATAACGGAGTTATCGTCATTTATACAAAAACAAAAAATTATTTGGAAGCCGTCATGGTAGCATGGTAAGTGGGACACACTGTATATCCTACTTCCTCAACCTGCAGGAATAGTTACCTGTGGACAGGTTCGATAAAGTTTCATTTTCGGAAATTAGGCACGATATCTACATTAAAATACGGTGTACCGGAATAAAACTGAATTATTTTGAATGGGCTTGAATCACAAAAAATTTTTATTTCATAATTCGATAGAACTCACCCAAACTAGCTCACCACCGAGGCGATGATGTGACGTCAAAACCCTAATACTGAAACAAGACTATTCCAGACAGAGATGAATGATACATGATTTCTGACAGAGTGAATTAGCGCGAGATCACAGTTGAAAGAATTAATATATCAGTTGCCTCAGTCTCCGTCGGGCTTTTGGTATTTTCTTTTAACTATGGCGAGATGAGGTTTCTACGTCATGAGAGGGTTCGTTTTCAGGTGGTACTATTATTTATGTCCAAAAATTAAACATTCCAGTTAATTTTTCGATCGTCAATCATTATTTATGTATAAAAGGATCATTATAAACATGGTTTGAGTTGAAAGTTCCACTAAGGTGTACACGCCCATTATAAGAAATCAACAAACTCAAAAATTCTGACATTTGCTTAGCGATCAACTGAACCTCAACAGTTCACCAATGTTGAATTTGTTTTCTTAGTTGGTAATAATATGTATTTACTGCTATCAACACTTTCGAGTTGAATCGGTACACAGATAACTGATCCTTCAGGTTAGTTAGTTCATTGTACCACTATACATATATCACCTGATAAAGGTAGGTACTGTGTTAGCAAAATATGTCGTGTGTTTGAGAAATTTGTGGAAATCTTATGGTTTGTGAAGTTTTCATCATTGCATATTATGTATTGTATTCTTTATTTTCTCCGTAGGCTCATATTCCACTTCAGAAAAAATTAACGAAGAATTAGTTCTGGTTTCTCTACCATTTTGCTGACTTTATTGGTGAACAGCTATGTTCACACAGAGCAAAGACGCGATTTTGCTATAGGGTGTCTGTGGTGTTGCCGTTCCCACTTAAGGTGGATTTATGCAGCTACATTTAACAATTAACAATTATCAATTAGCAAATGATGAGAATATTCACATTCATGCAAACCAAATTAACAATTAATGGATAAATAGTACGTGAGCGCACATGCCCTAAATCTGGACTATCAAAGCAATTATCTCACAAAATCGTTGTTTACAATTTACATAAGGAGCTAAAATTTCGAATTTTATAATGCTTTCTGATCTGGGCTACTCTTATGAACAATTATTCTGTTGATTGTTATTGTTTTATGTTAAAACAAATGTCGTAACATTTGTCAGGAATCAGGTCTAACATTGGTCTAATCAATTCATGCCTTCTCTACCTGTCGATGAAACCAATCCGCGATCAAAAGTCAAAAGTTTGCCAACTTCTCACTTGTTACTGGCTAATTGATAATTGTTGAATGCCTGCATGAATATCTTCATCGAAAACAGGAAGTTCAACTTCCGATTGCTACTTGTTGAATGATAAATGTTACTCGATATATTTCTCAAATGATGCTGTATAAATCCACCTTTATATGTTTGGGTATTCCGGAATTCTGTATTGACTGCAATTGCTGCTATTTTAATATTTGCAAGGTACTATCATAGGTAGAATGATATTTTTTGTCTTCCTGATTTTTTGGATAGTCGAAAAGTGTGGACTAAATTTTACAGGAAATAATTCAGTTGTCCAGATGCCTGATGAAATGATGAAACATATATCTACAATGTCATTTATCAAGTCCATAACATACTTTGTTTTTGAAATCTATTATGTATGTCCGATGACCTGAAAATCGATTTCGACAAATACCACGTGTTCATCGGTATGACAGTGAATTGAAATAAATGACTATGAAAAGACAGGAAGTGGGTTTTTTTACCCACATGTAGATGTTATAGAGATTAAAGCAATTATTCGGATTATCAATAGCTATTTTCTCAAAGTTTGTTGCTATGCACCGTTCCAAGTAATTTTAAATGGCATTTGAAATCATAATTGACATTGACATTCGGTGAACACGAAGGCTATATTCCGAATTCAACTGACAGTACTAAATCTGCTGAATTTTCATTCCGAAATCGGAAAAATTGACTGAAAGTGACAGATACTCGTGAGCATCAGATATACTATTCGTTCCAAATATTTCGACTCAACATTCTGCTGAAATTACTCACTATCAAAAGGTAGTGTGGCTTCAGTGAACTGTCATTATTTTTGAGGGGAAAGGAATGACACATTCATTTCCGTTGTTTTTCAAAGATTAAGTCTTGGCTTATCAATAATACATCAATAATATCATTTTGATATCAGAAAATGCCTGTTATTTATTGAGCTCAAGCAGGAGCATCTGCCAGATCAATGACAACTGACAAATGTCACCAGTTGATCAACTGCTGCTGATTACTGATGAAAACGTGTTTTGAATTACATCACTGTATTCAATAATAATAATAATAATCATAATAATGATGGATTTTATTGACAGCTAATAGATTACATAGATTCACAAATATACATTTTATATAATTAATAAATTATAAATATATTCAATGATTGATTCTTGAGAAAATGCTTTTATTAATCTATCATGTACATGTACATACGTGGCTCGTCATTTTGATTTTATATTTTGGAACACAGCTTTTTAGCAGAGTCAGTGGATCTACTGACAGTACTGACCAGTTGAATTCAGAATATAGCCGAAATGATGGAGTCTTCAATGAAAAAAATACACAAAACTGGTTTAATAAGACAAAATTATCAGTTTCACACAGCCGCAAATGTAGATTGACTCTCGGATTGACTGCCTAGTGAAAAGCATAGCTATTCCCTATATGTGTTACCGACTTAATGGAAGAAACTGTGAACATATTTCAGTTATATCAAAAAACGGTACAATATCCAGAGTACAATCTCGAAACTGAAAGGATTCAACTATCCTCGTGGTGGAACTATCAATTTCTATTCACGTTGGATTTCCGGTTGGTGTGTTCGATTCTCACTACGATCACATAAATTTTACTGATGACCTGAAAAAGTGTTTGGGATCACCCGTTGAAAGGTAAAACCCCTGTCATTCTTCGCTCTTGAAGACTTTTGAGGGATTTTCGTAAGGGGGCATCCGAATAATGGAGAACAATTAGAATTCTAAGATTTCAGAGTCCATTATTCTCATTGTTTCCAAGACCGTAGATAAAATGGGAACCGTATCATCATCTTTACCCGATAGCTGAGCTTATTTCCTCATTGTTGTGATCACTCATATTTCATCTACTTCTTGTACAGTACATAATAATATACGCTGTTGTCTTGATATTCTCCAATTCATTTGTTGTATGTGAGAGATAATGAGAATTATTTGATTGTTTCATCAGACAGAGATCCAAAGACCTCTGCCTGATGCGACATCCGACTCGAAAGAAGCCCAAGGAGCAAGGTGTGTCAACGACACAAAAACAGCTTGACAAAAGATTGAGATTTGTACTGCTTCTTCTACATCATAATTTTCTGGATTTCATTGCATACTTGGATAGCTATGTATCCAATCATATGAAGGATGGAAGAGATGTTCCATATATTGCAAAACATTTAGAGAGATGAGAGACATCTTCGTTTTCTTGGAAATTTTGCTGAAACCTTATTGTGAAATATTTCTCAAATCCTGAGAATCATCCATGTCTCAAAGTGGTCCCACACGAAAAAAAAAGTTGTGGCAATGAACATAATAATTTTGGTAATTTTTTTTTGTTAAATTGAACACAATTTTGCGGATTCAACAAAATATATATTCATTTCAAATAAGCAACCTATTCTAAGAGACATAATAATTTGGTTGAAATATTTGCTTACTTGGACATAAGTTTCATTTCATTCAACAACATTTATAGTTGACATAAAACGAACTTTGTTGATCCAACTTTTATCTCATTGTTCAATCAATCATATGCGTTTTGTCTGTTCGACCAAATTGAATTAATTAAAAAGAATATTCAACTGAATACAACAACATATTTTGTTGAGTCAACAATCATTTCAGTGTGCAACTAATCAAAGGTTTTCTTCTATTCGACGAAATTGACTTGATTATGACATTATATTTTGTTGATTCAACACATCACTATCAAGAAGTATGTTGTTATTCCAATCAAATTAGTTTGTTGAACAGAACCCACAAGAACTTTAAATCAAACAAATATTTTGTTGGATGATTATCTAGTTGCATTTTTGCCACCAGGTGGTGTTTTTTCCAACCTTCCTACGCTCGCCTTGATTGGGGTGTACATATACCTACCTAAAACATCCGTTTATATAAATATATTAGGCTGTCCTAGAATTTCTTATGACGCTTATAAAAGCTGATAGTCTGGAATCAACTGAGGAAATTGATCTCTTATTTCTCAGTCTTGAAATTCAGTTATTGGATTCCTTTTTTATTATTCAGCAAAACATTTAATCAATTCTCAATAAAATTCTGTTGATCGAAGAATATATTTTGTTATTTTAACATATTCACTCTCTGAAAAACGTGAAATTTTGTCACTTGAATGAAATGATATAATCATTCCAATCAACAGAATCGTTCATAAGAGAAGAATATTGTATTATAGGAACAAAATAGTCTTTGTTCATTCAACCAATTCCTGCTGTTGATTTGAATCATCAATGAGTTAAATCAAATGAATTTTGAATTAAAAACCGACAAAAAACATTTGTTGCGGTGACAAAATATTTTGTCGTGGATATATGACACTCAGATTTTGTTGAATTCACAAAAATTTTGTAGTTTCAACCCAATTTTTTTTTTTGTGCAGTAATTTCAAATAAGACAAGACAACCACACTCCAAATAGGTGAAAAAACAATTGAATAACAATATGTACCTATACAATATAGTTTCACACCCAAATAATGTGTGGTCGACGGACTTTGGGTTTGAATATTTTCCACTTTGAGAGAATGAAGATGTATGTTCACATTTCTACATACAGTCTGTTGGTAAATTCAACATCCTTTATTCCTCAGTAGATAATGCACGAAACACTATAATCCACATTATTCCTTTGTTCCAGCCCGAATTGTACAGAAAAGAACTAATCAGGCAACCATCAACGGATAGCAATGGCGGCCAAGAGATGGAGTACTGCGGCAAATTGCACTTTGCGCTGAAATATGATAAAGAGCTGGAAGGCCTTGTAGTGAAGGTAATTCTCCCTCATCTTCTTATACCGTGCATCAAGATTTTCTTGAGTGAATGCCAGAATGTATTTTCACGTAAGAAAATTAGGGATTTACGAGTTTTTCCGCAACGGCAAATAAAAATGTTAGGTAGACATCCGTATGTAATGGTTCATGAAATCAACACGACATTCTAGAATGAAAAAAAAAAACATGATGATTCATTGATTTATCAATGAACTTCTGTAACAGCAAGAAAGTATAACATCTATACCCATTGGCGCTCCCATAAAGGTAGAAGGGTCAACCCTAGAAAAATAATTAATTTCATCATCTTTTTAGACGATCGAGAATCCTCATTATATGTTCGTTCAACATCAAGCAAAGTTGATATTGGAAATCGTTTTCAACTTTCAGAGGTTAAGAGTTCTTGGTATTTCCCTATAGTCTGATAATTCCAAGAATTCGACGTTCGATAAGCAAACGATCGATACCCCTCCACCGAAATGAATAAGCTCAAAAAATTTACCAAGCTTCATGATCCGCGACTGTGTACGAATCAGAATTTCAAACTTCTCGCATATTGATCGTACCCTCGTGGTGATGCCAGTGATGATATACCGATCACCTATCTATAGTTATATAGAACTGAACGCAGGAAAGCTCCGGTGGCTAGCATGTTATCCAAAACCAATGAAGGCACATATTATGCCAAAATAAATGGAGCTACAGTAATTTTGCATTCTTGAAGAAGTTTGCTTCAGTATTCCAGGCGGTACCCTCGAGCCATTACCGAGAATATCGTGATGATATACATAGGTAGTAGTTTCAAAAGTCAGGCGTCACTTCAATCTTTGACAAGATCTAGAATCAGATCAAGACTGTTTCATGACTACCTACAAAGTCTTCGCACTCTGACGAGCCACAATCATGTGACACTGCCCAATGGGTTCCAGGGTTCAAAGCAGCAGACGCACTGAAGTTGTGTTCGGAATACCCAAGAATTCAGTACGCTGCTGATTGGCAAGGTGAACATGAAACCAACACCTTGCACACTGAACCGGTATTGAATAAAGAATAAGCAGTACACTGATGGTTGAAACTCTCCAGAAGATTGGGATAGAAGTCAGATCGAACAAGTTGAGGCATTTACGACGGGTTATCCTTCCTTGAGGAACAATGACTATTTTTTTATCAACATATTTGCCGGCTCTGTTTTTGTTGGGACAAAATCATGAGGGAACCACCTTCTAGGAGTGAATACCTCATAGAAGGTTTCTCCAGAAAAAAATGCGTGTGTTCAGCAGTAGGTACCAACTGAATGACTAGAAACACATTCAGCCTAATCTCCAAGAGGTCAGAAACATTCCAATAAACTCTCTCCCTTTCCCCCTCAGGTACGCGCGATGTTTTTTGAACATTATTGAGAGAAAACTTGGGTTATCATAATTGGAAATCTGAAGACCGTTATAACGATATCTGCAATTAATAGGGGACAGATGTGTTCATTTGCTACCATAGATGAAGTGAATTTTTAGGTGGCTTGAAGTTACGGCAGCAAATTCAATTTGCGAACTTGTATAAACACCGCTGCTGAATAACTTCCACTTGTTCTAGTTTCTATGATGACACAGAGTGTCGAATAAGAATAATCCCAATAAAAATGTTGCAGTAACTAGTCCACTCTACAGTGGTTATTACTCTATCGTCATAAAACAGCCTCATTACTTGCACAGCCATCTTGAGGTAACGCAGTCATTCGGCTCATTTTATTATAGTCATTTGATAACTGAATAAAACCTGATATTTTGACATGCTTATTCAATCAACATTGTGCGTTGGAAAACTGTAATGAAAATAAATAACGTCCACACTCACTTTCCATGATCCCAAGTTGTTTATCTCAAAAAACAAAAAATACGATCAGTTTCTGAATTGAAATATCTACTAACGAAATCTTCAGAACAAAACTACTCACAAATTTTCTTCAGAACATGGTTCGAATAAATTTAACGTCATATAATTTCATGTGAGAGTTTTTGATGGTGCAAGATTTCAAAATAATCATTGAATATACTAATACCTGAAAAGATGAGCTCATAATATCTACAATTCAAGTAACAATGAATCAAACATACTATTTTCAACTGAATTCAAAATAAATTTGTTCTAAAATTTGTTTGTTACACACTCACTTTCCATGATCCCAAGTTGTTTATCTCAAAAAACAAAAAATACGATCAGTTTCTGAATTGAAATATCTACTAACGAAATCTTCAGAACAAAACTACTCACAAATTTTCTTCAGAACATGGTTCGAATAAATTTAACGTCATATAATTTCATGTGAGAGTTTTTGATGGTGCAAGATTTCAAAATAATCATTGAATATACTAATACCTGAAAAGATGAGCTCATAATATCTACAATTCAAGTAACAATGAATCAAACATACTATTTTCAACTGAATTCAAAATAAATATCTCAACAAATCAGAAAATAGATACTTCTGGGTCTCTTCCATGGATAGATAATCCTGGATAACCATCGTAGTTACAACATACAGTCCAGTCATCTTTGTATTATTAGATACGTTCACAGCCAGCACTACAACAAAATTTTGCTACATCACACACCTTCACCAACACGACGCGGCTCTATCGATTCGGACGATCGAAACCATTGAACAATAATCATTGAACACGGGCACGAGACCGCGAACAAGAGTGAGAATGAACGCGATCTGTAGCGATGTCAGCCTCAAAACTGATGAAAAACTAGAGCGAAATAAGCCGAATTACGATTGTCGAATGATTGTGTTATAACCGTCATTCATGTGAATTGCTATAATAGTTATTCGCCAACGTACAATGCTAGAAACCAAAACACCAACCAAACCAAACATCATCTGAATTCACCAATAATCCTGATTCACAAAACGAGCTATCTCAATAAAAACCTGAATAGGCTAGAATTTATAAAATACTCATAATGTCATAACACATCTGCATTATAATGGTGGCAAATGTCCATTCAAGGGTAATACAAATGTTGTGATAATAAAATGATCAGAAATAAAAGATTTCTTCATAATCCCTAATAGCACACAACGTCCTAGGGACGTCCCTATTTGGTACAATTCACGTCCGAATGTCCCGAACCAAGAATAAGTTTCCTTGGGACGTCCCATCCCGTATATCTCATGCAATGTCCAAGCAAGGACGTCCTAGAAATAGCATCCTTCAGACGTCTCACGTGGTACATATTGTAGAATGTCCATGCAAGGACGTCCTTGGCATGCCCCTGATGGAAAATGATTTTGAACGTTCCTTTAGGGACATCCATCGGATGTCCCGAGTAGTACATATTCTGGCATGACTTCAGATCTTATATAATGTCCCTTCTAGACAACCATGGAATGTCCCTGATGGTACATTCCTTCAAATATCTCTGCACAGACGCCCTTGATATTTCCAGGATCGTATAACAATCGAAATGTCCCTAAAGGACATCCTTTGAATGTCCCTCAGGGATATCCGTCGAATGTTCCAATTGGTACATGGACTGTACTCTTCCAATGTCCTAGAAATAACGTCCTATGGACGTCCCAGTCAGTACTTTCAATATGTTGTCCTTGCGAGGACGTTAACTTACACCTCGCCGACGAATGATTGCTCGTAGGCTATAAGTACTCCTCGCCAATGTCCTTCATGTAAGTCCATCGGACATCCTTGGGACACTTTTTGGGGACCTTCTACGGACCATCAACTCAACTGGATATCCTTATCAGTTATGAAAGATCTGGTCCTAGGGGGACCCAGAAAAATTCAAATTCAAGAATAATTCGTACGTCCCTGAGACATCCTATGCACATCCAATTGATATCCCTCATCGTTGCTGATAAGTTGTCCTATGGATGTCCTAAGGATGTCCTCTGTAGTGCTTGATGGGGAATACTGTAGGATTTAGGTATTCGATAGTTGTCCCAGGGACATTCCTCAAGGACGTCCCTAGTTGGTCCTCAAGTGGGACATTTGTGCGTCCCACAGACGTCCAATGGACGTCCACGGTACCAAATTCGAACGTTCCATGGACGTCCTGAATGTCCCGACAGGACGTCCTAAGGATATCCATGGAACATAAGTGTGTTATTAGGGATGGTTATTACAATCAGAGCTGGTCGATATTTTTAATATCCAGTTTCTCTCAGTGTAGGGATTTCCTTTCATTCTCTCCAAGAAAAACCTGACTAGTAATTCTGCAAGGATCAATCAGTCATTGGTAATGATATTGTTTTTTTCATATGTATATCTCTTGCTCCAGGTATTCGAATCGAGAGATCTACCAGTGAAAGATATGAATGGAAGCTGCGATCCATACATCAAGTTGTATCTACTGCCTGATAGAAAGAAGAAATTCCAGACCAAGGTACATCGGAAGAATCAAAATCCAGTTTTCAATGAAACATTCATATTCAGGTGAGGTTATTGAGTAATACATTTCTCTGAAAAATCGAATGTAAACCCGAAGATATTGGAGTCTGACATATAATGAAAAAAATCCAAGTACAGTGAACACTCGATAGTGTGAACTGGAAAACACAACTGTCCTCAGTCCACAGGTTTACTACATTAAATAATAAATATTTTCACTTTCTGTTATACACGTTTCTGCAAATTGATAGCCGAGGCCTTAGCCGAGGCTAGCAATCAGGCGAGACAATTGATAGACAGTTTTCCGCCGAGGTTCATATTGGATTTTTTGTGAATGATTGATTTTTTGAGTTGTTGTCAACTCACTCTCCGCGCGAACCAGGGTTGCCAGTTCTATTTTTATTCAATCAGTGAATACCTTGTCAAAAATTCAGTTGGTTTCAATAAATTTTAAAATATGCCTTACGAATTCCAAGAAAGGATAATGAAACAAACCTATTACGTCAAAACATTATGTACTTTCAGCAAATGTCTACAAATGAGTTATATGCAGGATGTTTTCATTGAATCTACCATTTTCATGTTCAGTTTTCAGTTGTACAATTTGAAGAAAAAACATATCGATGAATCGAAGCTAACTGAACATGGACAACATATGGCAGAGTGGAATAATATCAAAATCATAGGAAAGAAAGATAACAACCTGAAAACGAAAATCGAGTAATCCGCTTGCATTCTTCTGAACGGAAACAATACCATTGCTTCCTGTTCAGTTGATATAGATAGAACATGGTATTCACCTCTGAAAATAACATATAAATATATTCCAAATTGGATAAACATATAAACATAACATGATGAATAAATAATGGACTTTCACTTCATTCACTCCACAAGTGAGCTGAGGCAGAAGGAACGGCTGGGGCAGCGTGCACATATTGGGCTGCACGTACGTAGAATATACCTTCTGTACTGGGGCAGAGTTTACATTCAGTACTGGGGCAGAGTATATATTTTCTACTGGGACAGAGTGTGCGGCTGGAGCTAGGTAAACTGGAGTTACATGCTTCTCCACGACTGTGTTGAACATGTCGTGGTTATCAGCGGAATAGAGGACAGTACGAAGGGTGCAAACGGCATCAGCTACAGAGCAGTAGCTCTTCACAGAGTCACCATCACGTTGTTCGTATTTTGGGTGAGCCTCTTGTTGGAAGAAAAGAATATAAGCATCCCTACTGACGAGAGAATTCGACGAAATTGAAGAAACCAGGGAATCATTGTACTCGTGCCAAATTTTCGTATATATATATATATATGTCTGCAGTAGGCTGTGTAGTGTCCGCTGTAGGTGGACCGCTGTGGTTTGATATAGCGTACAGATTGTAAGGACATGGTTGGACATGAGCCCCATGCATAGGGGCTCATGTCCAAGCCGATCAGGGGGAAGTCGACAAATGTGTTTAGTTTCCCACTGAACTCTATTTTCTTTTCTCTCTACACATCGAGCAAGTTGGTTTCTCCTCGCCGTCTAAAATATCAACACTCGTAAACGAGCCCAAGCAATGAATCAAGCTGAGTTGGCCTGATCGCTGTGGTGTCGGTTAAGACAACTCCCTAAATGGGTCGAATGTCTCCGAACAATTGCCACAGAAGGTGCATCTCAAAGTAGACTTCAACTGCCCGACAAAATTATCGACGATCTTAGATTTATCCATTATCAAGAATCTCGACCACGAATCCATTGCTTCGACATTAAAACTAAATTATTTGTCGATTTCCATAAGTACTTGCTTTGGGTTCGGGTTCGGTTCATCTACGACCATGTTGACGTCCTCGTGCAGCCCTTCCAGCAGGTAACAAAGTAATTATTGTGCATCCTGTTGCGAGGAGCCTCTGAATTGAGGTGCGAACCTTTGAATCCGAAGTTTCGCATCGTCCAAACATACGATTCGGATCGAAGGATCGTTCGACCAAAGCTTCTTTATAACGTCAGCAAATGCTTTCATCGGAGTCCCCTTCTTGGTTGATGACCTCTTGTTCAGATCATTGAAGTAAGCATTCTTCCTCAAATATTCCAACAGCCACTCAGTTTGAGACAGGCATTGAACGACGCTGTTCATGAAACAAGTGTTCCCGATATTTTTCAAACCGATTAGGCCTGAATTCAGAACAGGTGGTGGCAACTGCGATCTTATGGCAATATTGTCCGGATTACTGAGGGGTCGGAGGTAGCAATCATTTTCTCTGTCAATAGTTTGGCGATGTATAGGATTCTGATTTGAGATGACAGATAGGGACCTGGACTGCGTTAAATTGAATCTTTTTTCATTCAGCTGAGTATAGCTATCATCCGATATTTCGCTACTTTTTCAAAGAAAAAGCGTCCGGCAAGTGAGCACGGCTCGAAAATGGCGGACGAGTTTTGTAATAAATATGATCCGATCCTATTCAAAATCGGTGTCTGGGGGTTTTCGATATCGAAGATGATTCTCTTGTCAAAATTGTTGAAATTCAATATGACGGATCTACTATGGCGGACGAGTGTTGTAATTCTGATCGGAGCAAGCTGCTCAGAGCTAGCCCTGTACACCCTCTGAGTAGACTGAACTCTGCCTTTTGACGAGCCACGTATGTACAAGATAGATCAATAGAGGCATTTACTCAAGAACCAATCATAGAATATATTTATAATCTTTTGATTATACAGGGTGGTCCGTTTTTTAATACGGAAAATTCAACAGCGTATAGTACTCGTTAAAATAATAAATAAACTTCCTATGAACATATACTTTTGATTGCTTCGTTTTCGAGATATAGGGTGTTCAAGTTTCTTCAAAAAAATCGATTATTTATTGATTTCTCAGAAATGCTACAACCGGTTGTGATGAAATTCACATCTATTGTGGAAATATCAATGAGCTTACTTTTTGACCTATTACAGTTCATGAATGAGTTAAGTAAGTAAGTAAGTAAGTAAGTAATTTATTCATATTTTCAGGGGCGTGCATTTCAAAATACAATTTTCTTGCCATCTTAGATTCCTTATCTAATAGCTTATGCATGTCGCTAAACCTAATGGAAGAAACATTGGCCGTTTACCAAACCAATCATGTAACCATTGCAAATCAATCATTTACGTATTAGAAGAGCCACAACACGCCATAGACCGCAGTGGATATCCTGCTATTTGTCTTCAATGTTGCCGAGCTAGTACATTTTTACTAGTTAGTTTTTGAGATATAAGGTGTCAAAAATACGCTTCAGAATAAATATAGTTTTTTAATCGAAAGAAACGGTTCAAGATAAATTAACGAAATTTTCCACAAATACTAAGCTTTTTGAGCTTCATTATATATAATAAAAATTATTCATGAAAAATATTCAGTGGCGGCTGAATCTGGGGCTGTCACACTCATTGAGCCAATAAATGATTTTCCATCCCACAGAATTCAGGAAAACTACATTCATATTACGTATAGCACATTGTTATATCTGATAACCCCTGTCATGTATATTGATATGGCAATTATATTTCTTATGCATCTATTGCATATTTGCGGATGTTTTATTCGAGTCACGTAATCAATGAAGCTAGCTCGTGCTTTATTAGCATTATTGAGTGTTGTGTAATACAAAGTACAAAGGGGACAGGGAGGGCTCGTGTGATTGTGCAAGAACCAGGGGTTCAAGGATAAAGCATGCCTAAAGCAAACGAACAGAAAGTTGGCAGATAACACAAGAGTATTTACCAAATTAGTTAGAAGGAATATAGAAAATCTCGAATTCTTTCAAAAGAAACGATTATTTTGATGTACAGTGTCCTAATTTCGATGTCCTGTCGGGATATCTCACTAGTTTTTGAATATTCGAAGAAAGAGATACACGTTTCTCGCGAACGATGGCTATTTTTTTGTTGAACTCACGATTTCGCGATCAGATAGCCTACTTTATTTCGACTAAATACTAGTCAAGACAAGACAAGAGTATACCTACTCTTGGCTTGTCTTGAATTTCAACACAGGAGTATACACGTACGTCTTGATTAAATAAGCTTAGTAGACGATTTTCAACAGATAATTTGAAGAATTACTATAGACAATGTTGATGAAGAAGATCAACATTTTCGTTGTATTGCTAACGTGCAAAATTTAGCAGTACAAGATCCATTGATGAATACACTAAAAACTGAGAATGATGGCGTTGATGCTGAAACCGATGCTGACACTCAACACGAAGAGATGTAAAATAAAACATATGATGATGAAGAAGATACCAATGTTGACACTCCCGCTGGCTTAAAAGTACGAGCTTTATGAAAAAAATTGGAGCTTCGGAGTATTGATAGCTTGTTGCAAGCTAACTCAAGTTGAAATTTCAACTCTTCTCAATGCCGTTCCTGAAATATGAACGTGGAAAAATACCTTATACTATACCAATGGTAGTTACGAGCCTCAACATTTTAATCGACAGACTATAGAAGAGGACACATATCAGCAAGTGACAAGATTCTCAAGCAGCACTATGCGAAGACAAACTTGATACATTGAAGCTGATGGGGTAAACCAGAATCAACGTTGAACAGCTGATAATGAGAATTCAACTGGCTCTGAAGATAACAGAGAGTTCTACCTCTTCTACAGACGTTCTCATTGACAACTTCAATCTCTGGAGAGAAAGAATTGATGAGTTCGTTCCGAGTACACGTGCCAAGAGAACAAGATAACCTTGTTTGATGACGAAAGCATCAGTTTGCTTAACCTACATTACCCTAATATCACACAACCTCCTAGGCACGTCCCTATTTGTACATGCAAGGATGCCCTCAGCATGTTTCTGGTGGGATATAATTTCAAACGTTCCTTTAGGGGTATAGATATAAATGTCCTTCATGCGAGCGAATGATCATTTTTTCATCCAATGTCCTAGAAATAACGTCTTACGGACGTCATAGTCAGTACGTTGAATATGTTGTCCCTGCGAGGACGTCGATGCCCATCACGCGAATCCATGAGACATCCTTGAGGACTTTCTTCATGATTCATTGGGAAACCCCAACTAAACTGGATGTCCTCATCGGTAATGCAAGATCTGGTCCTAGGAAGACCCAACAAAATTGAAATCCACTCCTTGGAACACCTGATGGACATTCCAGACGACGTTCTATGGAAGTTCCAGGGACGTCCTATATGATTTTCCCAGAGGACGTCTTATGGACTTTCCAGAGAACGTCCTATGCACATTCCAGCGGACGTTTCGGAGGATGTTCTATGAATAACCTCGGTACAAATACATAATGTTTCAAGAACTCTTCAAAGGACGTCTATTGGATGATTTCCCAAAGAGGTTCAATGTATATCCTAGAGGGATATCTGGTTTTGGTGGGAAGTCGAGATATTCGTACTTTCCACGGACGTACGCAATTATGGATGTCCGCGGTACCAAAAACGCATGTCCTATGGACGTCCCGAACATCCCGGCGAGACGTCCTATGGATATTGATGTGACTTCAGTGTGCTTTTTGGGTAGCCAAAATGGCACGCGGTTCGCTAAGTATACCTGATACATCTGTTCCAGCAGATGCTTATTTTCCAGAGCATCGCTTACCATTCGCAGACATAGGAATATAGGCTTAATTCCTATTCCGTTCTTTTTAGTATTTTTTGTAATATAGTTTTGAGAATAATCAAAAGGTTTAACCTAGATAAGAAATATCGATGGTATAATCTCGATATTTTAGACAAGACAAGAGTCTAGAATGTATAAGTCTAGGAGATACAGGGCGAAATTGAAATTATTGCACCTCCTCTTCATTCCAGCTATGTTTCAACTCATGGAAGAATTGAAAACTTTCTTTCATACAAATGTCTTATAGAAATCATTGGCGATGTACTCTGATTCTTGAAATGAGCTGTCATTATTCAGATATAACCCAAAGTTGTTTCGAACATATGTTTATATTTCTCAATTTCCGCTCTTTAAAGATTTATAACACATAGACTTCTCTGTTTATTAGAAGTACATGATGTTTTGACGTCATAGGTTCATTTCATTATCGTTTCTTGGAATTCGTATAGCATAAAATAGATCTTAAACAGATCTATCGAAATCTACTGTATCTTCGACAAGGTATTCACTGATGGAATAAAAATCGAACTGACAACTCTGATCCGCATGCACGGAGAGTGAGTTGACAACAACTTCCATTTGCTGTTGAATTGATAATTCACGAAATCCTATAGATTTGAAGTGTGAATAGGACCGTGATGTGAGTATGCATGTTTGAAGTCGACGAAAAAATGTAATATGCACCTAGGCGAAAAACTGTCTATTGTCTCGCCTCGCCTGATTGCTAGCCTCGGTTATGCCTCGGCTATCAATTTTTGGACTCGACTATAATAGACAGTGTTTCTATCACGTTCTCGTGATACACTGGAGTGTTTAAACTATATGAGCCGGGCCTGTACCTCGTAATTTCCCAAGAAGCTGTAGTTTAGAGTTTAGGTGAAGTGATTATCTAATATATAAGATGGAAGCGATATATATTAGAGTATATTAGAGTAATTAGAACATAAGGGGGCATAATAATGCTTCAGTTAAGTTACATAACAACTTCGGTAATTTCCTTTCATGTTCATGTTTTCATTGTAGATGATGTGGTTGAATTATTGAGCAAACAATGATCAAGGCGTTTATTGTATAAATAAAGAGAAACATTTTTTCTACTTACTTGAGAGCATAATATCATTATGATTTTTGCTCAAAAACTGAAGGTACAGTGAAAAGTATGTACTATAAGAAAATCAACAATTATTTTTTGTGATTCTTTTTGTTGGTTGAAGGTCATGAATATATATGAATGAATCTCAGTGCTCATTCAAGATTTTTTTATCAGTATCAGTGGGTGAAACAACTTTATCTTGATACTTGAATTTTCGAGATGTCATTTTATTGCAAACCTCATATTAATCAGTAGTGCCAGTGGTGGACATGGACTACAATTCGTCCAAGAGTCAGCTACAAATTTCGACCGTCATTTGATAAAGAAATTTTATATTATGTCCCAAAGGCATGTGAAAACATTGAATTTTACCAAACGGCACCTGTGCCGATCACTGATTGAACGCACTTAGGGCCTATTATTTATGCATCATTGTCTTAGTCATTGTTTCAAGCATAGTCTTACCAAAGTGGATAGAATATTAACTCATCATATTAGGACCTTTATGCATCACAGTCTTTAGGCTTGAGAATTATGATATTATGACGATTGACAATCCGTCAAGGCGTCGAAAGATCCGTCAGTAGATGGTTCAAAAACAAATTCTATACACCAGAGATATAAAATGTAGCTTACTTACCAATCGATGGCATGATTTGTGGTATTAATTTCCAGGAATTCTCTTCTTTGTCTTTGTATTTTGAGTCTTCCTTGTCTCAAAGATGGGGAAATTTCTCCACCAAATCTATTAGGGTTCCTTCTTCCAGGCTCATTCATGATTTCTCGATATTTGTTATCAAATGTAATCAAATTATCAGAATGATGTTATCAATTAGTGACACAGCACAGATTGCCACTGATTTTTTGATGATAAACACAAAATTGAAAGTTATTTGTGATTGTCAAATATGTTGACAGGTCTACACATGCGCATTTCTCATGAAACTTGGAGGTTTGCAACTTTCAAGGTCATGATCTAATGATTATGATTGAGACTGAAACTCAAAATGTCGCATGAATTCACCTATTGAAATGAATTTATAACTTGATATCATGATTAAAACAAAGACTGTGACTAAGACTAAAACTGAGACAATGATGCATGAATAGGCCGTCCATTAAGCGATTTGATAACAAGATAAGAATTATGCTATCCGATCCCACTAAGGGCATTAAGCAAAGTTATAAGCTATGTTGATGGAATGTCGAAGCAATTACTGAAACAGACAATATTGCAATGGTGAAGTTTGATGATGTAACGTTGCAGCATTAAAACATGTTGTTGTGACATGCTGGAATGTTACATTTACAAATTTACATTTGCAATATTGCTGAACGTCCGTTCCAGGAATTGCTATAACCTTGCATGAACGTAGCTCCCAAGTTCGCTTAGTGGAATACCATTTGAAAAGTAGATCTCAAAACCCTACCTGTGTCACCCCTTGATCTGAGTGAAATCCTCGGCACAGAGATTTACAAACTCCTGTCATGTGATAGCATGTTGCAACAAGAATCAAATAGAAGGGGATAATGTCCCCTTTGCGAATATATAATCTGGCCGCGATTGTTTCAAACTGGTCTATCAGATATTATCCTTCGACAGGAGCGAAATACTCTGGGATTGATGACGCTCTGCCACTAACTTAGATCAGTTCGAATCGAATGTGGAACGTTTGGATATTCGCAAACTGGACCTTATCCCCTTTTGTTTGCTTTCTTTTCGACTCGTAATCACATACCAGAAGTATGTTCGGAATGATGGCAGCAAATAAATAGCTGTGCCAAGGATTCGACACAGATTAAGGGGCGGCACAGTCATAGGGATTCGCCTTCGAGCCTGTCGATACACATATGTACCAGTAGGAATCACGCAAAAACTACAAGCAAATATTCATATTCAATATGGTTCCTATATGTACCGGTACGTCTCCTACCTCCCTATGTAACTTTGATGCGCGGAGTTTCATTTGAGGTTATGTGGTAGTTATTTATTTGTGCCGAGCCACGTTCCCCTAACAATACAAGTACATCCTAGGGACTGCCTAGGGATGTCCCAAATTCCATACTAGGATATTCCAGGAATATCCTTTGTCGGGACAAAGTACATACTAGGGACGTCCCAGGGAAATCCGCTGGCCGACAAATAAGGCATCCAAGGGATATCCTTCTGGCACGTCCCTGGGATGTACTAAGTACCATGCCTTCGACGAAAGGAAAAAAAATGTAGGTCGAGAAGGGGTTGAACCCGGGACCTTGAGCTTATCATGCACAGATTTATAGACAGGATCACAATACAGACACCTGAATAAATGCAACTCTGTTTGGATTTGGGTGTTTAAAAATGAAAGGCATCATAGATTCACGATTCCTGTTTGCGAAAAATGGTAATTCCTCAAGAAGTTCTGGAACTATATTCTTTATTTCCATTACAATTATTTTTTGGAACAAAAGCAAACATTATCAAAAAAATTCAACTCAATATTTTGATGAAATGCAATGATTCTGATGTGAATGGATATCAGATATTCCAGGGACACGAATAGGATAGCCTAGGGATGTACCGGGTGGTATGTTCATTGGACAACCACTGCGAGACATCCCCTGGATGCCCCAATGTTGGGGTCTACGCTCCGTTTTGAGTTAATTTTGACGAAAAAAAGCGCATATTGTGTGTGTAGACTCAGTTGAATGTAAATGGCGAAACACTGATGGAAATAACAAGAGAACAGATGTTCAATGTCCTGCGTGGCATTAGCCAGGGAAGTAGTTGTTTTTCTCCCGAAATCTACCATTGTTGTTCATTTTATGAACATTGTGTGGAAATGACTTTGAGCATTTTGTATTTATTCACCATTGAATCTTAGTCTTGGAGTGATTCTTTCCTCTGTTCTACTCAGATGGCGTTACTTTCATTTTGTCGATGAAAGATGCCTCGGGGTGAATATAATGCCGACTTGATTTTTGTTTGGCTAGGCTTCGCTGAGTCGGCGGTCTTAGGACTGCTGGCTGGAGACTACACTGAATTGATGAGAGTCAAAGAGCTCGAAACTGGTCTGTGGTTGTCTAGCGGCCTGGCTTAATCAAAATCGAATGGCATTCAGGAAAGAATCACTTGTATCAGTATTTGTTTATACGAGTCGATGCATAGATTTCGGGAGTATGTAATTCAATGTCCTGCGTGGCATTAGCCAGAGAAGTAGTTGTTTTTCTCCCGAAATCTACCATTGTTGTTCATTTTATGAACATTGTGTGGAAATGACTTTGATCATTTTGTATTTATTCAATTCTTATATTGTTCAAGTAATCGAGTGCATTTCACCGCACAGGAAAGTGCAATTTCTCAATCATTTCGCTCTGAATAGTGATTGACACAGATGCCTTTCCTTGAAAACCAATGATTTTACATGCCTTTGGGATATGATCAATCATTCCGTTATCATAATGGATCATTATGGAGGTCAAAATTTGCTGCCGGATCTCTTAGAAAATGGAAAGTAGCTTCGAATTGAAATGTTTCGCAATGTGACTCATTTGACTCTAAGCAATTTACCTAATTTCATTTTCATCATTGTTTTCCAGTGTGATGTACGAGGAACTGAGAGACCGCTATCTTCAATTCTCCTTGTATGACTTCGACCGTTTCTCGAGGCACGATTTGATAGGTCACGTGGTCTTCAAAGGACTCTACGAAATAGCAGATCTACAGCAAGAAGTGGAGTATACTATGAGCATACTATGCCCTCCCAAGGTGAGTTATTATCACCAATAATATTAGAATTTGTTGACATAATAGAGGATCATGTAATCAACTGATCGTAATAGGCGGGTGATTTGAAATTAACCAGGGTATTTCAGAGTTGTGGTGACAAAATCCTGAGGGAGATTCATGTTCTCATCAACGTGGGTCCAAAAATGGTTCTCTTTCGAATTTGAAAAAAAATGTGCACCATCAATATCTTGAAAACGCTCAAGCCGATTCTAATGAAATTGCCATCCTAAAACAATTTTTATTCAAGAACATTCGCGTAATTAACAGTTGCAACTGTAAATTGGGCAGATGCAACTTTGTTTATTCAAAACACCTCCAAATATACAGTTGCAATTGCGTAAATCAGGATATATTCAAAAAAAGTTTCTTCTTCCTAATTCATAGTTGCAACTGTGAATTAGGCAGAGACAACTTTTCTTTTTTTAAACACATCCTGATTCAAAATTACTACTGTAATTAGGCAGAGGAGACCGTTTTCTCAAAATACCTCCTAATTCACAGGTGCGACTCTATATTAGAAGATATTGAAAAGAAGTTTCATCTGTCTAATCAGCAGTTGCAACTGTGAATTAGGCAAATGTTTGTGAAGAGTTTATTTTCTGCAACCGACACGAAAGTCGATCGTCCATGTCAATACCAAAATTAGCTCTTGAATTGATGTTTCTATCACTGACATATACATAGGTATGTTGCTATAGGCAACACTTCCAGTTGATCTTTAGCTCCTAGGAATTGAAAAGGATGTACTTTACGTGATCAAGAATAAACATTGTTATGGTTGGTTATTTGGGTTGATACGCATACCTGATTTGTTCCTGATTTCGGCAGATTTGGCATTTCATACCCATGCTGGAGATATCAATACACCATATGATAGTTATGTATTTTTGTCCTGATCAGGAAAGCCTTCAAGATTCACACACTTGCTTGATTTGTATTCCATTCGTTATCTGTTATCAGATTGGTTGGCTTACTTGTTTTTGAATAATCACGGCCAGCTATATTTTTTTGGCTCACACAACGATATTATTGTACACCGACATTTGATTACCGAAACAAACACAGTGGAATATGGAGAGAAATAAATAATCGCTTCTATATTATTGTTGATATGCTCACTGACCTAACATTTTCCATCTATTTTATATCTATATACCTGGCACTGGAGCGGTATTTGCTGTTTGGGCAGACACCTGGTCCAAATAAATTCATCGATTCATCGCTTTGATAGAATACACAAATGGGTAACCCTGTGGTTGTATTTATATGGAAACTTCAATTCGAACTTCCTTGAAAATTGAATCTCATCTGTAAATACAGGTGGAATATTCTCACCACACGGATTATTTGTTGCATTGCATACATATGGCACGGCATCCACGTTTCGGATATAGGTATTAGAGAGTTGAAGTAATCACTGTACGTAGACCTCCACGTAAACGTTAAAGTACGAAAAATAACGTTTACGTATTGTCTTCAAATTGAGTTGAAGTCGTCAATGTCATCGTAACGTTATAACAAATTATGTTATCGGTTTGTATTAGTCAGTTTTGGTTGTTAGTTTAGATCAAAACATTTATTCGTGTTAAAATGGAAGATTGCCCTGATGCAGAACTCCTTAAGGATCCCGAATTTGATGATTTTGACTCATCGGCATATTTCGAGTTTGGTTCGGTTGACGTACGCTGATATTTAAGGTATACGTGAAAGTACGTGAGATAACGTACACCCGTAAGCCCACTACCAACGCGAACGTGAAGAATTGAAAAATGCGCATGCGTAGCTGTCAATTTCTACGTTAACGTTAACGTTCCACCACTATTCTAATGTGAAGTAGTCTGAGGTCTTGATTATCATATCTACTTACCCGAATTATTATAATGAAGGTATTTTTTTTATCACTTGAAGCGCACGAAAGGGAATCCCTATAATGTTCAAAGAACATCGTGCGTTCCTAGGGAGGATATGGACAGGAGGTAGGTATTGAAATTTTTTTTTTAATTTTGGAGATTATACGTTGTTGGGAATACTTCCACAGGCAATGAATTCCAGAGCCTAGCCGTTCTATGGATGAAGGAGTCTTGATAAAGTGCTGTTCGACATCTTTCAAGGTTGACGACGAAAGGATGTGCTGACTGGGCTTGTCTAGTTCGTCTGATTGGTATTGCTAGTGAAGGGATGATAGCAGAGATTTCTGACGAACATTTCCCGTGGAAGTATCGATAGAAAAGCGAAAGGTCGCCGACCTTTGTACGGTGTTCCAATGATGTCAAAGAGTGAGTGAGTGTGGCGTCACCCACCAGGCGAATGACTCTTCTGTGGATGGAATCTGAGAGCATCAGCGTATGTTTTGGTGCTGAACCCCATATTTGGGAACAGTATTCTAGAACAGGCCGTATCTGCGCTTTGTAGATCATGAGAAGCTGTTGGGGTGTAAAGTAGCTTTTCGCACGGAACGAGAATCCGAGTTTTTGTGAAGCAGCTTTTGCAATGGATCTGACATAATTATCACATGAAAGAGTGTTGTTGATGGAAATGCCGAGCATAGATATGGTGGGCTTGGTGGGGATGATGGAGCCAGACATTACAATATCGGGCATACTGAGTTCCGCCTTTCTAGAGAAAATGCAGGCAGGAGTTTTGGTTGCGTTGAATTCAACTAGGTTGTTTGTTCCCCAGGCAGTGATTTCAGCAAGATCTTCAGTGACAGCATTGACCTGCCTGCGCCGTGAGTTCTTAGTTTCCTGGGAAGAAATGGAAATTATAATAATCTGTCACATTGGTGGTTACTTCACATATTTATTCAAGTCAACTCTTTCGGTTGCATAAGAAGTAGCATGTTCCATACGGATCAAAAGTGACTGTGTTAGACTTGCAAATTTTATTACGTGGCGTGGTGCTGAATATCTCTCGTGCTCAATATGTCACTTTGCACACTAGTTATGTAATACACTTCCCATATAGCACTCGATGTCTTGGCGACGTTTATTTCAGGTCCGATTTAGGCCTCAACGTCCGGCGGGACCTTTTCAAGACGTACTGGAAACGTGCATTTGTAGACGTACAGGGTATGTACGATTCCGATGTACTGAGTACGTTCAACTCTGAACGTTATCGACTTTTCGTGGGTGGAATAATTGAATACATGGTATAATGATATATTTGAAATCATTGCTTATAATTTCTACCCACGATCTCTGATATCTATTACAAATATGATTATAATGCAATTCTCACAATCAATTTGTTACTGGCTTAAGGCTCTTACACAATGCTAAAACATAGGACATAAGGCGTATGACGTAAGGCGTAAGAAAGTAGATGAAGAAATACACAATGCTTATGCAACACCGTAAGATTTACGTATGAGGCATGGTAGCTTACGGAAATTTTCGTGAGAATGGAATTTTCCAAAAAAAACATAAGAGAAATCCTTGAAATTGACGTATTTGACGTATTGTAACCGAATCTAACATGACCAAAAGATTCCTAGAAAAAGAAAGTGTTTGGTTTGTTGTTATAATAAACAATAAACTCACCTGTGTACATGAGATTGTGATAAGATAATAAGATGCTTACGCTTACGTTTGACGGCATTGTGTTATTGAAAGAGTTTCTCAAGTTGACGAATATCTTATGCAGTCTTATGCCATACGTCTTATGTCTTACGTTTCTGCATTGTGTAAGATCCTTTAGGTATCCTCTGCCGTGATCATCTGATTCTATAAAAGTATCGATGAGAAGGGTCACTGACATAATACTATACTGGCAGCATATCAATAGGTGTTCTATAGAGTGATAGGTAGAGCATCTGCCCGGTAATCTAAAGTAGCAGAATTTATCCCCGGTAGGAGTGCTGTTTTTTCAAATTATTGATTCAATATAAGATTTTTTTCTACTCTGTCTAGATCTCATTTTTCAACTATTTGAGTAAAAATAGGCGGATCTTTCCATTTTTCAACTATTTGAGTAAAAATAGGCGGATCTTCGTTGATTCAGGTATCCATGGCTCTGAATGGCCGTACTGTGGATGTACAAAACTCACGTTCGGTATTTTACATCGTAGATTAGAGCAGATTCTAGTCACGTGGTCACAGATAACTCGGAGCAATCGGCAATAAACGAACCAAGTGGACATTTTGTTGACAGTGTGACGGTAACCTAACCTAACCCAATTTATTTGTTTCATTTATTCCCATTTTAATATGAGTATACCAGAAATTTTCTTTTTCTTGTTTTTTTCCAAAATAATCGCAGCCAGAATCGTATCTATAAGAAAAAATATAGAAAGAATAATTTTGAAATCATCATCTAATCACATTAATTAAATGTTAAACTATTATTTGTGACAATTTCTTCATAATTCTCATCTGACACCGCATGAAGGTGTGTGTTTTGTCTTGCTCAGAATCAAAAAGTTGTATTTCTTCTATTATGAAAACGTTATTTTGAAAATACGAATACGAGCACAACGGCCAGTCATACATAAACATTTGAACATTAACCTCACAAATTCAGATCAATCGCTTTGCTCGGTCAAGTTTCTCCGAGCATTAAGATCTTTGTCAGATCGCTCCAATTTGAATCGCCGAACAGATGAGATCTACGTCTCCTACATCTAGATGTCATAAACGAACGATTCAGATTCATCGGAACAGTCTGATGTAAATAGCGAACGCGACTAAATGCGCGGAATCTGGACGTCCTCAAGACGTACCTAGTACCTCAACGGTCCCAAGCTGGACGTCCCCAGTACGTTCGAAACGTCTTGGCCAGACGTTCTCAGTACGTTTCGGGGACGAACTCGTGCTATATGGGCTATTTCAACCCAAATGAATGATATCACCAATAAATGCCTCCCTAGTCATGGTTTCCATTGTCAGAAACACTCGTTATATCACGAAAACGGATACACTGCTTCTTTTGTAGAACTCCTATGTTCGAACTGAAGCGGAGGATGCATCTATCATATGGTAAATAGCCTTGACCGCATCAATAAACATTGCATGGAATATCCATTATTCGAGGAAGATATTGTCTCCCAATATCCGATGTAATATTCCATTACAATAAGGTGGTCCATGGCGAAATAAATCATAAAGCTGTGTCGAGAATGACCATCATGATTCAGGCGCAGAATAATGTTTGGTAAGATCAACAATATACAAGGTTGCATCAAAGTGACCGTTGAAATAGTTTTCTGATTTGTCGCCTCTCATACTCAGCATGAACAGAGAGCGGTAAATGTATTGTCTCAGTTTTGTCAACTCTATATGACAATGATATTATTAACCTGTTCTACAATTATTATTTCCGTCATGTATATTCGATTTGTTATAGAATGATAGTTAAGTATTCACCCACGGTGGGAAATTTAGTGAATTTCGCCGTTTCAACTTCATTTGGTTCACGTTTGAGTATGTAATGAATGAAATTTTGCATCGGTACAGAAGTGTGAATACTGCATATATTTCACTCTTTTATCAGTTTTGCGTTATTTACATAGATGAAATCATTTATCTAGGTAAAATATATGTATTTTCATTCACCTGAGTGAAAAAGTATTCCATCTCATAACAGGAAATCCTTGGATAATAGTGATCTCTTAGGATAGTTTGGTGGTAGGAAAGCTATCTCTTAGTACATGATTATAGTATACCATCATTTGATGATCTCCCGAAATCTCTTCATAATATGATACCCCGTATTTATTACTAAGCGTCCTATTATTGATTTGCCTGTATACACATATTCGTGGCCTGAACCATGAATTTTTTGCCCTGTCAGGCATGATGGAATCGAAATAACAGAGGCTCCGATTATGGAAATTTCTTGTATACAGCTATACAAGTTTCCTATGGCACGTCGAAATCTGGTTTGATAAATAACTATGTTGTTGATTTGATCCCCAGAATAAAAATAGAGGAGAAAAGAATCATTCTGCATGAATAAAAAAATGATGAATAAGTTTCGATAGAAGCTGTGAATAATAGTGAACTGGATCCTCGGATTCAGAGCCTTTATGATCCCTCTTGTCAACTAATCTAGTTGTAATGATTGTGATAATAGTTATTTATGTAATAAGGATCATAAAGACGATCATTATAGTACAAGTCGTGAATGTTATCGGGCGAGGCGTATCCGAGTCCGATAACACGGCGTGTGCCATAATGATTGTTTATGATTCGTATTACATACAAAATTTTATCTGATGGCATTTATATCAATACATTTTCGAAAAATTAAGAACTGCATTTTCGACATGTCACAATGACAACTATTTTTAAAGGAGTAAGTATTGTGTAGTTTCAAATATTAGTAGGTGAGTGAGCTGTGCTTTGCCATTATATTAATATTACAAATTGTAGTAATTGTTCTTTTACCATTTATAATAAATAGTTTTGTACATAGTTATGCATTTTGAATAAACTTTTTTGATCAAACAATTACATGTTTTCCTTATAGAATTTCATTATGGTACTTAGTACCATAATGAGCTTCCTTATGTCATCAAAATTGAGTGACATAACGTTGTCATTATGACATGCCATCAGATAAAACATATAAAGGCCAAACCAGGAGTCTCATAAAAACAAGGTTCAAAGAACACTTAGCACATTTGAAATATGGTAGGTTAGATAAATCGTGTGTAGCCGAACACATGTTTAATCACAATCATAACACACATA